GGTCTTACATACAAGTGTCATAGGCTACTCTAATGGTCTTTCCTTACAATATTGATGGCCAAATCCCGGTATTACATACAAATGCCATGTGTTACCCTTACGGTCTTATTATACATAATTATAATTTGTATAAACTTGAATTGATAGTAACACAATCCTTTTGGGTTGCTCTCAAACCTAGCAATTGGGCAGGATGATTTTTGAAGAGAGAGGTTAATTTATTATTTGTTTATTAAATTGAAATAAATAATTTATTAATATATTATGAGAATAATATATTAATTAGAAATAGTAATATTCAATTAATAATTATTCAGAAATAAATTGGAAATAATTTCGGGATTAATGGAATTAATTAAAAGTGCAGGGTCTAAAGTGTAATTATTCAATAGTTGAATAAAAAGCTCTAGAACCTTCCGCACATATGGTGGATGGTTTCTAGAGTCCTTTAGGGTTTCTAGAATTATCCTTGGAGGATAATTAGGAAGCTAGATAATTATCAATTCAAGATAATATTATTATATTGGTTTTGGGTTTGTCTAGGGTTTTCAAGTTGCACTATATAAGAAGCCTTACCCCTAGCATTTTTCGGCCACTCTATTATTCTAAGGAATAGCGAAAAAATTTCTCTCCTGCCTCCTCTCTCCATAATATTCTTCTTGCTAGTTTGGGTGTGAACCACTAGAGGCACGATATTTTTGTTGTTTGCTTCCAAAGCTTCTACAAGTCAATGATCATTGTTATTTGCTATAATAACAATAATGTTCAATAAAGAAAACATAGATTTTCGTTTTAGGTTGCATGCACACTTAAGAGTTTTAAGTTTGTTTTCATTATGCCTAAAACCCATTAGATCTTTCATACAATTGTCATGGGCTACCATCATGGTCTTCCATGCAAGTATCACATAGACAAATAGCATCCTACATAATATAGTGAGAAGAATCACCTGAACTATTCAATAAAAACCCAACAGCAACCTCAACATCATAACAGGCAACCCAAACTTCCTAAAAATGAATCGAGACCAATCCTTAGTCCAATGCTCAATTCTACCCAAGTTTGACAAAAAGTCAACGCCCAGCTTAGTCAAAGTCGATGTCACCTCGTGACCATCCCTTGGTCACATCATGAGAATGCAATGAAAAAACAATCGTGATTTTAGGCACCATCACATCGTGACACATTCTATGTCACGTCGTGATTTTTGGCTAGAAGGTCAAAATCTTCATTAAGTGATTAAGTGCTAAATAGCTTCATAATGGATGAAGTCTCTAACTTTATTCATTAGGATGGTCCAAAGAATCAAGATCTAGTCTTTAAGTCTCAAAGGGACTAAGAATGCATCTCTCTCAGCTAAATCCATTAATTCCAAGTCTCCAACCTTCATATATGAATCAATATGATGTTTAGATGGATAAAGTTTCCAATTTTATCCATAATAATGTCTCAATCTTTCGAGATCTAAACTTTAATACACCAAAATAACCATGACCAAAATAACTTGAATGGCTGAAAGGGAAGGCAAAATATCAAAACTTTCCTAGTCCATGAGATCCAAGAAAACATTCTAAACATATAAAAAAGGTGTTGGAGTCCGGATCTGAAACATACATTGTCCTTAGGTCCTTGGATAGTAATAAAGTTACAAACTTTATTCCCAACTCTCACGCAAAACTCATTAAAATGGACCAAAACACCAAATACAGTTAGATCCAAAGATGTAATGCAATAAAAGTTGGAACTTTATAACTGACAAAGGTCTAGAAGGTAAAGGAAAGTTGAGATCTTCAATTGCCAAGCTTCAAGAATGTTACATGAAAGCATTGCTTCAAAAGCACCAAAAACTCCAAAAATGGATGAAATAGGAGAGGGGATGCTTAAATCTTGAAAATGGAGACGTTCTAGATATGATGGAGGCTAAGAAAATACCTTATGAATTCTTACCTTTAACTACCTTGAAAACCCTATAAAATTCGTGAGCTTTAGGTTGCACAGTTTTCATGTCGTAAGAATATATTCTCACCTCGCGAGAATAGTTTTTCACCCAATTCCACTCCAACTTCAAGCAGTCATAACTTTTTTGTTTCAACTCCATTTCGATGATCTTTATATTCACGGAAAAGTATTAACAAGCCTGATACTTTTATCTATGTAGTTTTGGTTTAGCACATGTTGAACTAAAAACCATACGTCATGAAAGAAGTGTAAAACATCATTTTTCCTATTTTACCCTTTGACTTCAAGACACAAACCAAGGCTTTAATCACTTATCCAACATTATCATCATCTAATAAGGTCTAAACCCTATTCCCTTGAAGCCCAAGACCTTACTTAATCCATTCATTGTCCACAATCCTGAAAATAAGAAACTTATCGAAACAGGATGTTACATATAAATTTTAAACCACAACAAAATAATTTCTTTTTGTTTCTTCTAAAAAGTTGACTAATATTCTAATTATATGTGGTTTTAAAATGTTACGATTTTTGAAAACCGAATTATAAAGTCAATCCAACTGAACTACAATTTGGATAGATCGAATTGAATTTGAATTTAGTTTGGACTATTTACATCCATATTTTGAAAATCAAATCAATTTGGATTCACTTGATTGGATCGGATCAAACCGACTCATCCATAAAAACACCCTAGTCACCATGGCATGCTACATTTAACAATTTATTTTATATACACAAATTATTTTAAATCCATTAATTGAAATTAAAACTACTTAACATGAAATTTATAAAAAAAAAAAGTTAGAGAATGTGAAATCATTCTCAATCGATCATTTATTTTTGCCGCAAAACCCTTCGGTGTATCCGTCCGACGGAGGATGAGTAATATTCATATATGAATATAAATATAAATGTATTCATATATGAATCAACCACCTCCCCTCCGGCACAAACCATCACCATCACCACCACCAACCACCAACACCACCTTTGCAACCAACCACCACCTCCTTCGCCACCACCCACCGTCGCTATATTCATATATAAATAAATAGTTCATCTATACTTATTCATATATGAATATGCATATTCAGATACACTTATTCATATATAAATATAAATATCCAGATACATATTCATATATGAATATGACACGTTCCTTCGGCCGGTACCCTGAAGCGGTAGATTTGAAATGAATGGTCTATATTCATTCTCAACCCTTTTTTCTCAATTGAACACACACACACTCTCTCTCTCTCTCTCTCTGTGTGTGTCTTTATAGGGCTGACAATTCTCGATACGGCCCGCGACACCACCCGCAACACAACACGACACGAAATAAATGGATTTGAGTTGAGTTTTTCAACCCGCTAACATGTCAACCCGCCAATCCGTTTATTAAACGGATCATATATGGGTTTCTAAAAAAATTAACGCGTGGACCCGCCAACCCGTTTATATTTTTAATAAAAAAATTATATTTTATTTTTAAATGTATTTATGTATCAAGTATTAATATTTAATAAGTATTATATAATATATATACCATTGATTCATACACCACTTAAATTATCTATGTTTGTATTAATGTTTAGTTTAAACATGTTTCTATGAATATTTTTAATTTTCATTTGGATGTTTAAGACTTAAGTGTCTAAAATTTGGATATGCATCAACCATCAAGAATTTAATCATGTTTAATTTTCAAGTTTATTTATGGAATCTAACCCACAAACCCGCCAACATGCGAACTCATATAAATAAATGGGTTGACGAATCATATATGGGTTTATGTTCCAAACTCGTCAACCCGTGACCCACCAACCTGTGACCTGTATATTTAAATGGGTCGCGTTTGGGTTGACATATTTTGACCCGTCAACCCGCCAACCCACAACACGCCAGCCCGAACACAACACGATTATCAGACCTATATATATATATATATATATATATATATATATATAATGTAAAAAAAATATTTAAAAAATATATATTGGAAAACTAATAAAAAAAAGAGAAAGAGAGTTGAATTAAACAAGAGAAAAATGGGTACGCCGCGTTCGGCTCTGGCAATGGACTAGGGATATTGTACGACATATCCATCGTTATACAACCTCATACCACCACAATGTTAGAAATCCTTTATTAGGAAAACGTGAAAATATCACTTTTAAAACATTCAAAACAAAATATCAATATTACTAAAAACATCCTTAAACAAATTCCAAAAATAATTATCAAAGTTTATTCATCAGAAAATCCTGATTTTTTATAATTGAAACCATTTGTAGTAAAAACATTTGAAATATCATGTTGTTGACGTTTCCAAAATGTCATCAACGTATAAATATTTTGAAAACCATAACACCATAAGAAATGTGGAAATTTAAAAAGAAATCCCGGTTACTTAAGCATTATATTATGAAAGAAACTAACTAAAAACTTTAGGCGAGAGTTTATATGAGTCCAACTGTGTCTTTTCCTTTGAAAAATGTTAATAAACTGTAAACGGAACATTCAATGAATAATCATAATAATAATACGAACATAATACCGATCATATCTGATGCACATAGCACTTATCATATCATCACATATAATGTTGGTACCAACTACTATCCCATAGACTGATTTACCCTTCTTAACTCCATTCTTTTACAAAGGTTATCATTAATTCTTACATAATATTTCCTTAGCTTTTCATTGATATAAGGTACATATTAAAAATTTCTATCATTTTTATAGATTTCACAATTTGATTATAAAAATTAGCTTCTTTTCTGGACCAATCAGTGAAAATTGTTACAAACACACTAAAATGAGTGAGGAACAAACTATGAAAAATATATATATATATATTCTAAACTACCTTATCTAAACTCAACCACGACTTCATGCCAATTAGATATTTCTATAACTAATTACACGTTTTACAAGATAATTATTGCAAACAGACATTATTCTAAGACCAGCCTTTGAAGAATTCCAAATCCATGCAACATAGGAATCAATCACACAAGAGAAATTAAATTGCCTCCTACCTTTTACTCCTACAATTATTCCTACCCACTAAAATTATGACAAATCACCATTCAATTTAATTGTATTTGATATATTCCTAATATAATCTTAATGATTTAGTTTAAAAAATATAGAAAGATGACACTTGTCATAATTTTATTGGGTAGGCATATTTGTAGGCATAAAAAGTAGGAATCAATTTAATTTCTCATCACACAAAACCCATTTTATGGAACAAACCGGATACAATTACCAAATTCCAAAAAGAAACCTCATGTATTTTGAATTTTCCTACATTTAATTTTGATTTTTATAAAATGACTAAAGTGGTCAATGGAATCTTCAGACGAACCTGCACCCATTGCGAAAACTGTACATTTGTGTTGGAAAAGGCAGGCCTTTGGTATTGGATGAAACTACACATCCATACCTTTCTAGGACACGAGTTTCGTGCACTTTAAACATTTTTATATGATTTTTCAAAATTAATGGACAGTTTCAAGACTTTGTAATAACAACAAAATTAACTTTAATTTTTGTCCCACTCATTAAGAACTTAACCAATTAAGCTCATATCCATCCAATTCAGTAATTATTAAGCTCTAGGATTAGCCCTAAATTAGAAGTTTAACGTTACGGATTTAATTGATTAAGAACCGTGTTTTTACACATCCAATTTCAAAAGTTGGTTGCTCTGACGACATCCAACATTGCACCCTTTTTCCTTTCTACTAAGGGCTTATTAAGTCACTAATTAAGACATATGGGGGCCAACTTTTAACAAGCTTCAAAGTGAAATGGTGTTTTAAGATTAAATTTCTTATAAACGAATCTCAAGTCAACGGATGTAATGTTTACAAGTTACGAGTGCGCACATAAGACCCAGCATCATTACTGACAACGATCTCACCTCAAATCTTTTTATGTTCGTTGAGGAACAAATATTTTACAAATTCACGTTATCATTTTTGCAGAAAAACTTGTACACGACTATAAATATACCATAACATCATATTTACTATTTCTTGATTTATGTCATCAAAATTAAATCCAAATCATCAGTTCCTAACTACTAAAATCACTGATTTTTTGCTTCCACACTCGCATGCTAAAAATCGAACTACAAAAAACTAATCAACAGCAATAGATAGCATGATAGATGATGAAGGGGGTAACATCAGTTTTAAAAAGCTCGATTTTGGAGCCTCATGGATTAAATCAGCCCAAATAATATCAAGTTTTTTCATCATCTGCAACCCTCGTTCCTCTAGAAAAACAAATGTTGAATTTAAATCCTAACATATAAATCGAGTATGCAATTAAGAAAACGTTGATGTGTTGATAGAAACATAGACCGACTTACAGGTATGTAAATCACATGAAGAAGAAAAAAATACATTAATCAGCAGCAACAATAGATTACAGTGGTGGGAAGGGAACGCATCAGTTTTAAAAAGCTCGATTTTGGAGCCTCATGGTTTAAATCAGCCCAAATATTATGATTTTTTTCATCATCTGCAACCCCAATTCCAACCAGAATTACAAAAAAAACATAACTTTACTTTAAATGTTACCTGGAACTGAAAGCTTGAGTATGAGAAAATCGATTGATAGAACCCTAATTTATATACAGGTATCGCAGGAATCAAACCCTAGAAGGATATTTCTATCTATTTCGTCAGCTTCGGCTTTAGTTGGCCCAACCCCAATTAGTTGGTAATGGGCCAACCTAACTCGAGTAACTTAGTATTGATGGTTGGCTTATTGGCTTTAGGCCTCTTGTCTCTTGGGTATTAACAAATGGATTCAACCTTTTCTAAAAATTAAAACAAATTAAACCAAATTATCCCCTATTTGGTGATATACATATATACCACGCAAAATGGTTGCAGATATCTCTTTCTAAAAGTATCAAATTTTAAAAGTAATAAGATGAGACGTGGTTTTTATTTGATATATTATTTGAATGGGTGGGGTAATTTGTTGCTTCTCAAAAGGAGCCTTGATATATTTGATATATTATGGTCTTGGGTTAAAAGTATTTTTGTTTTTCTTTAAAATATTTAATTATTTTATAACAGTTTTACGAAATTCAGGTCCCGAAAGTTATGAGTTACAATCCAAAGGATAATGTTTCTAGATTCGAGGATGTACGGTTATATCATCACATAAGTTAAGTATCAAATATCACGTACATAAGTTAAGTACCAAATACCAAGTACCAACTTATATTTATATTGTAGTTTTCTAACTAGATTATAATCCGCGTTAAATGCGGGGACATATTAAAAAAATACCAAAACATTTATATATATTGCATAATAATTATAAAAAAAAGTTTATGGCTATTGTTAATATTGAAAAGTGAAGAAGAAACACTGAAATCGATAAATAACTATAAACGTTGAAGGACCTCTTTGTAGACAACGTTTTTTGTTTTATTAGTTGAACGATCTTCTTCGTCACATATAAGTACCTTCAAACTTTTTTTGCTTATTACATGAGAAACAACTACATATAACTGACCATGGCTGAAAACAAATCTACGCAAATCCAACATTTGATAACGATTGCCTTTGACTTTTGTTAATGGTCATAGCGAAACAAACTGCTATTGGGAATTGCATACGTTGAAAACGGAATAGAATTTTTAAATCGGATGGGGTCAACTTCATGCGAGGTATATAAGTAGTTTCGTTGAAAAATCTACCAGATATGATTTGTGCTTCAATGACGTGTCTTCCAAGCCTTACGATTTGTAATCTAGTACCATTGCATAGTCCTCTGGTTTGGTCGATATTACAAAACAACATGATTGGAACATCTTTTTTTACTATAAGTTTATGGTTGGGAATTCCAAAGGCCTTAAAAGCGTTCAACACATCCGGAGAGTATACTGATTCCTCAAAAGAATCTTCTGTCTCGGTCTCACATAAGGAATTTGAACTCATATATGTTTTCCTTTAATCTTTCATCAATTCTAACATTTAGTTGTTGATAGCATCAACTTCTTCATTAGTAGGGACCAAAATAGCTTTATCTTTAAAATACGATGGATCATCAAGATGGTTATGAAAAGATGAATAAATGCACAATACAATTGAATGAACATGGTCACCCGTAGAGGGAACGATCACATCTTCTGGAAATTCAACTTCAACTTCAACTTCACCATCATTATGACCACTGATAGTACCTTCACCAGTTTTAAGAATCTAATCAGCAAATGATTTTGTCTCTTCAAAATCATTGTTTGGACAACCAAACTGAAGCCTCATGTTTATAGTCAAACATAAAAATGTACATTGACGCCATAATCTTGATGAATACAATGATGCCTGCACAATAGCTGAACGATTTCCTCTTTGTGTTACTGGAAGAATTTGTCGAAAGGCGCCTCTAAATACAATGGTCTTGCCTCCAAATGGTTTATCATTGTTCTTAGGAAGGATAATATCTCTAAGTGTCCTATCAATTGCTTCGAAACAATGACGATGCATCATCGGGGCTTCGTCCCAAATTCTAAGGTTCACTTTGTTCAACAGGGAAGCTACATCGTTACCTGGTGTAATAGAACAAAACGAAATCTCATTCAAGTTAATTGGTATATGAAGTCTTGAATGCGTTGTCCTACCACCAGAAAGCAAGAGTGCTGCAATTCTGCTTGAAGCAACATTAATAACTACTTCACCTTTAGATCTAATAGTAGCAGACAATGTCTTCCAAACAAATATTTTTCCTTTTACTCCATAACCATAGAGGAAAAAGACACCACCTTTTTGTTGTTAACTGCATTCATAATTATATCATAAATATTTTTTTGCTCGACATTTAATTTTGAATGCAGTTCTTGATGTTCAGATTCGAGATTGAGGGATCATACTTAAGTTTATCTTGAATTAGCATATTACAAGAATCTTGAATATATTTGTGACCAAGTAATGGCATATTAGGTATTTGCTTAAGACTCAGTCCACAACTCAATACATATTTCTCAATGTACAACAACGTTAGGTGGTAAATTGCTTCCGGTTTTAGCTTCAAGCCTGAAAACATTAAAAAGTAATGAAATAATTTATGTATAATATCAATTAAAATGGGAACGTTTTTGTGTGAATGTACCTTTCACGCCTATTTCTTGTTCACGAACGTGAACGACATCATCAGAAAGACAATTATATGTCTCTTTAAAAACATGATGAGGTCGGGATAGACTATATGATATAATCAACATAACAAATAGAGACCTGTAGAGAGAAGTGGTGGCCCAATAATGTGTTTCTTGTATAGAAGATATGTACTCTCTATCATCGTCTAATAGACCAAGAGCGTAGCAAGCATCTTTGTAAGAGTCATAAATGGTCCCGTTAACCGTTCTAATATCTTCATAGCAAGTAGGACCCTTTACTTTGTTGAGCAAAATGCGCAAGTAATAAACATCACTAGACTTGGGAGACACATGATTAATTCTGCCAAGTGATTTTGTCTTTGTTTTTCTTCTTGTCCATACTTTATCTAATTTATTCCAAACATATTGAGTTGGGAATTCAACATAGGATAACTCCCTTGCCTTTTCGTCGTAGCTATTACATTCCATCCAGGCCAAAAATTGAGAAGCAACAATAGTTGGTTTAGAAACAACATTAGTAACACATTGGGATGGTTTAAATACAACAGGTTGTGTGTCTTGTAGGTGAAATGACAACCTTTCAACAGGTGGTGTTCTATAATGAATGACATACCTAAAAGGTCTCCAACATGCCTCACAAGCAGAAATATAACGACAATTGTAATACTCAACAATTTCATCACGATCGTTATTTTCTTTATGTTGTTTTTTGTTATTTTTGCCGTCGTAAAAAGACGCAATGATCCTGTTTGGACCTTTGTTAATATACTTAAAAAGGTACCTTATCGATCCAAGCTGATTAAACCACTCAAGATTCATATGGGATTGGTATTGCTTCAAAAGTGTCTTATTATATGGAACAACATATATGAAAAAAGAAACAAAATGTCATAAAGAAAATTAAGATCATTTAACATATCTTTCCTATAAAAGATAACATTTATAAAGAAATAAATGTTTATATAAAAAAATTAAATTATTATACCTATTGCCCAAAGAAACTCTGTTTTTCACGACATTGTTTCCTTTGTCGCGTCTTCGGTAAACTGGATAACCACCATCATCAATATATGTGTCATTTGTAAAGTCTTTTGGAAATCCTTTTGAACATTTGCCATATAAGAAGGAAAAATGAAGAAGACCAACAATAATAATAATTATTGATTAAGAATAAGTAAAAATAAAACAATAAATAATTATTTCATAATCATCAAATACATGTGCCTTTTTAAATTCTGAAATATGATGCATATCATCATCATTAATATGCAATCTCGACCCAAATAAACAGTTACCGACTTGTGGCTGACCTATAAATAGCAATTGGAGTAATAGATTATTTCATATTATAAATAAAATATAAATGTAATGAGCATAGACATCTAAAAATAATTATTCTTACCACCCAAAGTCTTGAGCTTTGTCATACGTAGGAGGATGATCACAAGAGCATTTTCATTTTGATGTTCAGATATGTAGCTTTTCAACTTCAATGCAAAACCATACCACAAAGCAACTTGCATTTTCCTACTAGTATAATTTATTGTTTGGGTTATACTAATAAAATATTAAACATGATAAATTAATGAAAAATAAAGAAAAGTACCTCAAATCTTGTGAAACAATACTTATTAGCCTTGTTTCCCTTGCATTCTCCTTAATCACTCGCATGGGTTCAGTAGATACAACTTGACCAGTAAAATCTACAAAAAGTAAATTTGAATAAATTATTATAGTATAAATTGGTTAAAAAAATATATAATATAATAAATGCAAAACTGTTAAGGGAAAAAACTCACAAAATGCAACACGAGTGTCAAATTTTCTGGTTATCATCACATGAGAACTCACAAAATTAAAAGGATCGACCCTGTCAACAAAAGGAGTTGATATACGAATTGTGGTTGCCTTGTAGAAATTTATCTTATGCTTGTGAGCAACCAACATGTAATCTTCTTCGTTTCTGGCCATACCAAAGTTAGTGATTTGCCTTACAACTCCTTCTTCTAAGAGGGCTTGAAATGCATTTATGAGATTTTTTTATTGTTGTATGTATTCTAGTGCCCTGTATGTGATAAAGAATATTATTATATGAAAAAAAACATGAGTTTTTTTTTCATATTATTTTAATCTTACCTCCTGGTGCATTAAAATCATGTCCAAGTTGCTGACAATGTTTGGGTTGTTTTTGTATGTCTGTTTTCAAATCATGACAACTTGAACACGAATATTCCATAATTCTTTAGAGGCATCTATGTCAGCCAACTTATCAATGACGATTTCACTGTCAATGTTATGTGTCATTTTGCTTGTGCTACAAGAAATAGAAAAGTATTAGAGATAACTATGAGATATAGTGAAAAAAGTAATTCAAAGATTCACAAGATTTTTCTTTAATGTAAATATGATGTTGTTTAATTAACATAAACATACTTAACCATGAAAAAAAACAAAAATAAACATTAATTGTATTTTGCAAGATAATAGTTGGATGCAATTATGGGTTAATGGAAGTAGGATGGTATCAAATCAAAACATACATAATATGTTGATATATTTCACAGAAAACAACAAAGCAAAAAAAAAAATGAGTATGAACACTTATCATATTGAAGGCTGTAAAAATGAAGAAGTATTGATAAACAATGAAATGCGTACCTTTTTGCCTTTGATTAACCAAGCTAACAATTATTTACTGCTATAGAAGGTTGTAGAAAGGAAGAAGAATTGATTTAGTATCGTGAATATCAATATAAACGAAGAGGTGAAAACATAGATAAAGCACAATAAAAACCCACCTTTTGCAGGAGTGTGGAAGGAAAAATTAAAATGGGTTTTTGCGGAATATGTCATATATATGTATTGAATCCAAGTTGATTTTGGAGTGATAAGATAAAAATCATTTTTATTTTATTCCTTAAATGTTGAATTTCAAAATGTAGTTAGGCTAGATAATGTAGAACATTTTAGGATTATTTTTAAAATTTTAAAATTAGGATAATGTTGATGGTTAGTTAAGTTCCCGTCTTTGGTTGCTAATTTTTCGATTTGAATATGGGAAATAGTTATGATAGACGTAAATAAATAGTGAATTGTTTTGTTAGAATAACGTCACCAGAAATATTAAGAACGATCTAAGGGTTGAAATCAATCAAAGAAATTCAATGAATGGTTCTGATTGTTGAAGGTGACATCATCAGATTTATGTTTTAAATATATATATATATATATATATATATATATATATATATATATATATATATATATATATATATATAAAGATAGTCCAAGCTACCATTTTATCTATGCTTCTTGTTATTGATCTAAGAACATATCACATTTATATCATTAAGCTTGGAAAGTCTAGTAAGTAAACTCGGAGATAAACTTTGAAATGAAATTAGGTAATGACAATAATCAAATTCCTTGATCATAACTACCAAACCATTCCATGTATCTTATAGTGTTAGGTCATATTTTGTTGGTTTAAGCTAGTCATTTGTGTTTTCTAGGCTTTGTATAAGTATTTCATGGGTTTTTGGTTGGGTGGACCGAAAACGTCGTTTTCGATCCAGATGGTGTTTTCGGCCGCAAACCGTTTTCGGTTACTGTTCCCTATATATAGTGTCAGTAGTTGTCATATGTCAGTAGCAGTTTTCGGTCATGTATGTGTGTGTTTTGCTTCCATTGTACCAGACGATTGAGTTAATTGAAATCGTATGCAATTTGGTTGAATTGGTTTCTACTCCTTCTTCTTTCATCATATTTTAGCTTGATTGTTTGATCACTAGTTGGTTATTCAACTTTTATGGGACTTACAAT